TTAGAGTGAGTTCATCACCCCACTGGGCACTTGTTTTTTTTTTTTTCTCTCTTTTTTTTTTTTGAACAAATGCTCCAGTCTATTCGTGGGGAGCAGCACGTGCTGGGAACCGGGCCAATCGTTTTGTCCCCCTTCTTTTTTTTTTTCTTTTTTTTTTTTGGTGCAGGGGCCATGCTAATCTTCTGTGCATTGTTCCAAGTTTAAAGGATGTCCCGAAGGACAGGTTTTGTACCCTTGCAAAAAGAGAAAACAAAAAAAGGAAACTATATCATTCATCTATCAATAGCATAGCAAACCATGGGGAGGCTTTACTCTCGTGGAGGACATGGAATGCAAATGCAAAGACAAACTCAAGGCTGGACGCTCTTGCGAGAACCATCCAGCATCGCCCTTCTTCCCTTTTTGAGGAGGGAAATGAGGTTGACGGGTTTTCCCAAGCTCTTTTTCTTTAAAACCGTGAAACCGTGAAACCGTGAGGGACGTATCAAGCAAACATAAAGTGGCTCTTTGTCTTTACGGGTGGGCTGAGATTCTAGAGATCGGTCTAAAGTAACCAAAGAAATCTCTCTTTGTCTTTATTATTTTTTCCTATATAGGACCCCTCGTACGGTTAGTGGCTTGTCCAGACCCCCTCCTTCCCTTTCCGCAGGTCTGAAATCTCTCTTTGTCTTTATTATTTTTTCCTATCTCTGTTTTTTCTCAACTTCGCGCCTGCTTCGTTTCACTTTTCTTGGCTCCGCTCCCACCCCGTTCCCCACCCCCTCCCTCCAGATCACCAGTCGTGAAGTCTCTTGTCGCCTCTTTTACAGCGGACATCCATCTACCTGACGATTGCATCTTGGCACTGTCTTTCTTATCTATCTCGCTCCGATGATTCTAAGCCTTCCGACACTCGTTGCGTGCTACTTCCGCGATATCTGCAGCTACTGTTTTTTTTTCCCTGCTCGGCCTGTCTGTATTTAGTCCCCCTCCGGCTCATGGTCCTCCCCTAAAATTTCGAAAAGATCTGGCACAGCGCGCTATCAAGGTGGATCGGACAAGTAGTCCCGCGGGCTAGCAGTTGTCCCCTTGCGAAAGGAAAGGTAAGGAGCAAAGAATGATGCGTTGGCATGCCAACTCCACTATGCGTGACTGCGATGTCCATCTCCTGCCCCCTGATCTCCTACTTCCCCCGCATCTGCATCTCTGCATTTCCTGCCTCCTGATCTCTTGCTTCCCGCTCTTTTCCTGCACAGGCCCTTCACTCATACTACATCAAGGAATGACTCTTGGCCCGCGAAGGAGTAAGAATGATGGTTTTCTAGTATACATATGCTCGTTTGTAGAAGCTAGGAGCAAGCGCGTAAGTCCCCTGATGATGGCCTCATTCTGGCGATGAGGCCGAAACCGGTATGGACGTCCGCCAGGAGCCTTTCATGTTCCGCTCCGTTTTTTTCGAAGAAGGCTCTTTTTGCGCTTATCCTGGTTTCTGCTCTCTGCTCTCTGCTCTCTCTCTCTCTGTCTCTCTCTGTCTCTCTCTGTCTCTCTCTCTCTGTCTCTCTCTGTCTCTCTCTCTGTCTCTCTCTCTGTCTCTCTCTCTCTCTCTCCTTTTTTCGCCTGTTCAAGTGTCGGCCTTTGGTTGGAGCTTTGTGTTTGCTTCTCGTAACGCATCTCGGTCAGTCGAGGGGTTTTCACCCCCGGTTAGCAGGCTCATCGTCCCGCGATTGCCTCTGCACTGGGGGTAGCAACAGCCTATCTCTAGGTGAGGGGTGCCAAGCTTGCCCAGGAAGGTACATGAGGCCAAATGGGGATTGAACCCAAGACCACCTGCTGAATGCACTTTTGTGCACCTTACCAACTGAGCTAGGCCGCTGGATTGGTCCTTTTCCCCAATTTGCTACCTTTAGTAGGGCTTTTGAAAAATTTTCTCTTTTTTTTTCTTAGTTTCAAACTTGTCAGTGTTTTCGCTCCATTTTGTTTATCGCCATTTTAAAGCTCTCTGTTTCTTACCTTTTTTGAAGTTTTTTACTGTTTCCGCCCTATCCCGAACTTTTTTTTTTTTTCTTCTTTTTTTATTTATAAGTTATAACTTATAACCCTATATTCTACTCTGATACATGCTTGCCGGTTTATAAGCATTGAGCAACCAGACTGTCGACCCCCAGAATCTGTGGGGCATCGGGGGTCAAAAAAAAAAAAAAAAAGGAAAAAAAAAGTGCTCTGTATTTGAGGAATGAGAACGAGGCTTTGGTTAGAAAGGGGAGGAAAGTGGAGGAAGTGGAGAAGGCTGTTATAGTGTGCCTTGTCTTCCCCCACCAGCCTGAGGGGTTGGCCTTCCACCTTTTTTTTTTTTTTTTTTTTTTTTTTTCGGCCCTCCACCTCACATCTTCAGTAAACATTTTTTTTTGGAGGTGTGTGTCTGTGTGTGCGCGTTTGGGTGTGTGTGTGTGCCTTTCAAAGAAACCCAAATTCTCTCTCTCATTCCATCCGCAAATCGTCACAAACCATCCACAAAGCAAAAAAGTATAGATAGGCAATATTGGACAAGATGCAAGGTTGGCCACGTTTGTGTGGTTAAACCACCAGTACTTGGCCCAGCTATAGGCCGCAGAAAAAAATAGAGTAGAAACGTTTCTAGTCGAATGAATTTAGGCGCTCTTGTTGTAGCCCGTACGTTTCCTAAAATCGTGGCGCGTTAACGGGCACGACTCTAGGAAGTACTGGTGGTTTAAGCGTGCAAGGTTGACCATGTTTGTGTGGTTAAACGTGCAAGGTTGAAGGTTGGCGACGTTTGTGTGGTTAAGCGTCATGTGTGTGTGTTTGCGTGTGTGTGTGGGCATGGGCGTGGGCGTGGGCGTGGGTGTGAGCCCGTGGGCGTGCGTGTGTGCATGTATGTGTGCATGTGTGTGTTTTTGAAAGGTCTGTACTCCAAGGCGCGCAAGATACAATACATCATTACTCATACGTGCACAGCTCCGACAAACCGTGTCGGCCCACCTTGAATAAGAGACAAAGCAGGAGTGACATTACCCGTTGCAAAAGGCCGCTGACAAAGAAACTTTGTGGAACGTAGAGGATGACTATGTGGAATGATGAGAGTAGCATCAATGTTTCAGACGCCGTTTTCAGACCAGACCAGAACACACACAATAACACCTCACAAACAAACGGGAGGGTGGGGGGAAGGCGAAGGACAGCGAGGCAAAGGCCAGGGAACCAACACCACAGGATGATAAACCACAACATGGCACATGAACTTAGGGGCACGAGAGGGGTCCGAACAAACAGAAATGACAAGCAAACCACATAGGCTGAAGGGGTATGGGGGGTTACAAAAAAAACAGCAAATCGGCCAGAAGAAAAGAAAACAGCAAAGGACAGGTCGGAGGGTAGATGGGAGGAGGGTGGGCAGACAAACAGCACAAGGCATGCACAAATTAATGAAAGTAGAAGTGTGCACCATCATCACACTGCGCACACGAAAACACAATTGCGCATAAACCGATATGAAAGGAGACAAAACACTGAATTCCTTATTTGTTTCGCATATGGAAGGAAAGAAAAGGCAGTTCTCAAGGGGAGGGTGGACAGTCTCCCGGGCAGGAGCAGGTAGACTTCAGGAGAGACTACTGCATCTGCTTCAAGGAATGGACTAAAGTGGACCAAGGAATGCCGATGCGCTCACCCGCAGAGTTCCCGGACCCATTTCCCCCCCATCAACTCAGAATAAGTATGGAGTTCGGTAACGCACACTGAGGAGCCTTTGGGAGGGTTTAGGGTTTAGATTGAAAAGAAGGTTTTAGTGAAGTCAACAGAGGTCAATAGTCACAGCTTGCTCTAGAGATACAAGTAATAATTGACAGCCATACAGCTGAGAGGAGAAGCCAGAGATGGATTAGGCATACAAAGCCACAAAAAAGACTAGTTATGACAGGCTAACTTAGGCAGGGGTGAGGGGTGGTACATCCTTCCTACTGGAAGTAATCAATGCCATCTCGGTCGGGCCTCTCAACCATAATGGGGAGGAGCGTGGGGTGAGTCAACCTTGTACTATTCATCGACTTGCCGGGGGAATAGGAACCGGACTGTCGCTCCCCAGAATCGCACAGGCCAAAAAAAAGATGCGCCGCGGAGTAACGAACACCGGACCCTTATGTTGCTTCCCATCCCAACATCCACAAACCATGTCCATGTTGCTCGAAGAAAACCAAAAAACACAGGAATATTGAAAAAACACTTAACAGCCCTGTCTCGCCGTCCACCCGACTGTTGTGCTCGTGGCAGGAGACCACCTACGACCATTCACAACACCCCAACATCTGCAAACCCTATCTGTGTGGATGTAAGAAAACTGAAAAACACAGGAAGATTAAAAAAATCACCTGACCACCCCGCCTCGCCGTCCACCCAACTGGCGGAGACATGGCAGGACACCACCTACAACCATCAATTGCATACAACC